GGGGGGGAGGAAGGAGGAGCGGAGGGAGAGATGGAGGGGAGAAGAGAAGGATAAGGTGGACAGCCTGGAGAAGCGCGGGCCTCCTCCCCCTCTATCCCCGCCCCTTTCCCTGCTCGACCCCACCCCCGACTGTTCTCCACTTGTAGGGCCCAAGGAAAAATATCAGTTTCTGTTAAAATCAGGAGGAAAAAAATCGATAGTAATATGAACTCAGCATGGATCATATTCGTTTTCATATCGGCGCGGTCATTAAATACTGACAAACGAAAACCTGTATATATATTTAATGTGTAGGATTTGGAGATAAGTATATAAATGTGAAACCATCGCAATATATGCCATAAACATATCCACATCTCCAAAAGTTTTCTCCCACCCTCTTTATTATTATTATTTTAAAATATATTTTATTGATTTTTTTTACAGAGAGAAAGGGAGAGGGATATCGATCAGCTGCCTCCTGCACACCCCCTACTGGTGATGTGCCCGCAGCCAAGGTACAAGCCCTTGACTGGAATCAAACCTGGGACCCCTGAGTCCGCCAAACCGGCTAGGGCTATTATTATTATTAATTATTATTATTATGTATCTCTGTGTTAAGACAATATAAGATCTAGCTTGTTAGCATTTTTTTTTGTCATTCAGATTGGCTGACCACACCTTGGTTTTCTTTTATCCAAAAAGAATGTATTTATTCTTTTAATTTTTTATTCTTTTTTTTCTTTTTTTAAAAATATATTTTATTGATTTTTTACAGAGAGGAAGGGAGAGGGACAGAGAGTTAGAAACATCGATGAGAGAAACATCGATCAGCTGCCTCCTGCACACCTCCCACTGGGGATGTGCCCGCAACCAAGGTACATGCCCTTGACCGGAATCAAAGCTGGGACCTTTCAGTCTGCAAGCCGATGCTCTATCCATTGAGCCAAACCAGTTAGGGCTAATTTTTTATTCTTTAGAGGGAGGAAGAGAAAGACAGAGAGAGAAGCATCAGTGTGAGACATATATCAAGAGTTGCCTCACCTATGCTGGGGACCAGGGATGGAACCCAAAACCTCTGTGCCCTGACTGGGTACCGAACCTGCAACCTTCGGGTGCACAGACAATGCTCCAACCAACTGAGCCACATCAGCCACGGCTTTATCTTCGTTCTTTTTTTTAATCCTCACCCAAGGAGTGAGAGTTTTTTTCCCATTTACTTTTAGAGAGAGTGAAAGGGAAGGGGGAGAGAGAGAGAGAAACATAGATGTGAGAGAGACACATGGGTTGGTTGCTCCCTACACTTGCCCTGGCTGGGGGTTGGGGTCGGACCCACAATCTGCAACTCAGTATGTGCCTTTGACTGGAATCAAACCCAAGACCCTCCAGTGTGCAGGCAGAAGCTCTAACCACTGAGCCCACCAGCCAGGGCTTGTCTTCATTCTTAAAGAATGATTTTTCTGGATATAGAATCATGGATTGACAGGAATTTCTTTTTTCTCTTTATTGATTAAGGTATTACATATGTGTTCTTAACCACCCATTTCCACCTCCCCCCCCATGCCCTCACCCCCTGGTGTCTGTGTCCATTGGTTATGCTTATATGCATGCATACAAGTCCTTTGATTGATCTCTCCCCTTAACCCCCACCAACCCCTCCCTTCCCTCTGAGGTTTTTTTTTTTTTAATATTTCTTTATTGATTTCAGGGAGGAAGGGAGGGGGAAAGGGGGGTAGAAAAATCATTGATGACAAAGGATCATTGATTGGCTGCCTCCTGCACGTCCCCTAATGGGGATCAAGCCCGCAACCCAGGCATGTGCCCTTAACCGAATCGAACCTGGAACCCTTAAGTCTGCAGGCTGACGCTCTATCCCCTGAGCCAAACCAGCTAGGGCCCCTCTGAGGTTTGATTATCTGATCATGCTTCTCTGTCTCTGGATCTGTTTTTGTTAATCAGTTTATGTTGTTCATTATGTTCCACAAATGAGTGAGATCATGTGGTATTTATCTTTCTCTGACTGACTTATTTCACTTAGCATAATGCTCTCCAGGACCACCCATGCTGCTGCAAATGGTAGAAGTTCCTTTCTACAGCAGTGTAGTATTCAAAGGAGTTTCTTTTTTATTCCAGTCCTAGGTGAGTGGCTCAGTTGGTTGGAGCGTCTTCCTGTATACCAAAAAGGTTTCCAGTTCAATTCCCAGTCAAGGCACATATCTAGGTTTTAGTTCAGGATGAACCCGGGTCGGGGAATAGCGGTAACCAATTGAGTTTCTCTCTCACATTGATGTTTCTCTCCTTTCTTTTCTCTAAAAATAAATAAATAAGAAAAAAATCAAGCCCTGGCTGGTGTGGCTCAGTTGTTTGGAGCATCATCCTGTGCACTAAAAGGTGGCAGGGAGCAGGTTTGATTCCCAGTCAGGGCACATGCCAGGGATTGTGAGCTCAATTCCCAGTAGGGGGCAGCCGATCAATGTTTCTATCTCCCTCTTCCTTCTCTCTCTCTCTAAGGCAGCGGTTCTTAACCTGTGGGTCGCCAACCTGTGGCTCGCGACCAATTTGGGAGTCGAACGACCCTTTCACAGGGGTCGCCTAAGACCATCGGAAAACACATATATAATTACATATTGTTTTTGTGATTCATCACTATGCTTTAATTATGTTCAATTTGTAACAATGAAAATACATCCTGCATATCAGATATTTACATTACGATTCATAACAGTAGCAAAATTACAGTGATGAAGTAGCAACGAAAATAATTTTATGGTTGGGGGTCACCACAACATGAGGAACTGTATTAAAGGGTCGCGGCATTAGGAAGGTGGAGAACCACTGCTAAGGTCAGTAAAAACTTATGTTTTAAAAAGAGAGGATAAATAAGAACTACTTGCTGAACTTTAAAAAACAAAACTAACCTTTAGCCTTTGCCAGTTTGGCTCAGTGGATAGAGCATCGGCCTGCAGACTAAAGGGTCCCAGGTTCAATTCCAGCTAAGGGCACATGCCTGGGTTTTGGGCTCGATAACCCCCCAGTGGGGGGCTTGCAGGAGGCAGCCAATCAATAATTCTCTCTCATCATTGATGTTTCTATCTCTCTATCTCCCTTCCTCTCTGAAATCAATAAAAAATATATTAAAAAATAAGTGGAACAACAAATTGATGTTTCGCTCTAGCTCTTCCCTCTCTAAAAATCAATAAAATAAAATAAAAACTAACCTTTGCCCTGACTGGTTTGGCTCAGTGGATAGAGCATCAGCCTGTGGACTGAAGGGTCCCGGGTTCGATTCCGGCCAAGGGCATGTACCTGGGTTGCGGGCACAACCCCAGTGGGGGGTGTGCAGGAGGCAGCTGATTGATGTTTCTCTCCCATTGATGTTTCTAACTCTCTATCCCTCTCCCTTCCTCTCTGTAAAAAAATCAATAAAATATATTAAAAAAAAACTAACCTTTATTTAGGCATAATTCTAAATGTATGTACTTCCTACTTTAGGTTGGAAAGTGACTTTTTTTCCTCATTAAATTTTGTTTTAATGGGTCTCAAAATTCTGTGGCAGATTTTTGGTCAAGCTGTTTCCATTTAAAAGTACTGATTTTTAAAACTAATAACAAAACCTGCCACACAAGCCAGGTCGGTGCGGCT